AGGCCTCCCCTCACCGAGTGTAACGCGCTTCGCCGGTGAAGACCGCCGCGAAGGTCACGGGGCCGAGTCCTTTGGCTCAGAGTAGCTCGGTGCCCGTGACTGCTGTGATTCCGGCTACGAGGCCTGCGCCAACACCTCCATCAACCTCTGGCACCACTTTTCCCCTGTACCACGTCCCTGAAGGCCAAGTGGGGGCGAGCAAGGAGGCTTTAATCCAGGCGGGGCTGATGTGCAGCCTGTTGAAGGACGCCTATGACGCCAGCGAGGCGCTGCAGACCAGCGTCCGAGTAAGCACCATTGTGAGTAAGATTTTCAGTCAAAGTTTCTGAATTTTCAGTTTCTTTCTCCATGATAGGGTTTCTGTCAATGTGTTTGCGTAGGGCATACCCACTAGATGCGAGGCTCTTGCTGGCTGAAAACAGTACAACCTCCCATGTTTGTCTTCGGTTTGAAGGGAAATCGCGTTCGGACCGCTCTGCAGACCAATACAGACCCGCGATTGATGGATACCATGGTCCGGACAACACGATACAAACGGATGCGGGAGGTGTACGAATCCACCTTGGAGATGCCCTTATGATGACTCTTTTTGTCGGAGTTATTGGCCACGGGTAGCCTCATCTGCCTCCCATGGAACTTCAAGACATCGGGGCTGACTGCGCTCCTTCAATGTCAAAACTTAATCGCCGCCTTCTTGTGACCGGCCGGTTCAAGCAGTCGGCTCCCAGAAGACGGTGGACCCAGAAGAGGGCCACGAGCTAGGCCGCCTCCTAGTAGGCGGCCTCCAGAGAGGCCGGCTCCTGGCAGGCAGTCCCAAGCGCCCTCAAAGCCTGAGCTCCCATGAATACGATGAGACGAGGCGTGGCTACAGAGAAGCCTGCCACCCTCGAATCCAGGGCAAGTCATGGCTACAGTGCGCCGTACCGGCTGGTGATCTCCCGCACGGCGCGACACTGTAGCTCTTTCGCCCATGACATCACTCAAGACAGAGGGGGCCCAGCCCACACGACGGGCTGTCGGTACGGCCTGCGGGCGGCGGGCCCTACCAGCCCATGAGAAGCCAGAAGGCGGCAAGCTCAGCCAGCCGGCTCAGGGTGAGGCCGGCTTCCAGAAGGCGGCCCTCCCCCCTCCTAAGAGTTTGTGCACCATCAACCAGAAGAGACGGGGAATGGCTACAGTGAACAACCGCCAGGCGGCGGAACTGTAGCCATGCCTTCCCCGGCAAAGCAAGTGTCATTAGAAGCACGACTAAAGTGATGAGCAGCCGGCAAGACCCGCAAGCGGCGGGCACGGCCTGTCGGCCAAGTACAAGACAGCCGGTGGGGTCCACCAGTCGGCGGGCCTCAGCAGTCAGCGGAGAAGCTGGCCACAAGAGACACTCACGGCCTGGGCCTACGCCCGGCCAACCTACCATTGTACCCCCTGAGGGTAGGCCTATATAAACCCCCCAGGGCACCCATGCAAAGGGTTCAGACTCTTAGAGAAACACACACATAGAGAGGGAGCTAGGGCTAGCCTTGTTCTACTTCCTCCTCTAGAGAAACAACTCTAGGAGCAACCTTGTAGTCACTCTTGTTGAGTTAGTGACCATGCGGAGACCCTGCAGAGCAGGATTAGGGGTGTTATCTTTTAGGAGAGCCCCGAACCTGGGTAAGATCCGCCGGCGTGCATGTCTTCGCCTCATCCCGTTTTCTGACACCGGCGACGTCTTACTAGCCCCTTTCATGATAAGCCATCATTTGGCATATGTCGCACGACATCCCCGACACTTTTGTTGTGCACAACCACCGCAGCCTTCATATGCATCCATAAGACGATCGCCGATACAGCGGCTCTTCAAGACTAGCTATCTCCAAACAAATGGACGAACAGCTGTGCCTTGTTGCGTGGTGTGTTGCTTTCGCTCATCAAAGTAACAATGAAACGACACGGCAGGCCATCGACTTATCACCGGTAGCCATGATTCGGCATCTACCATCAGGCAGGCTTATAGTGTGTTCTTTCTACTTTCTAGGGGGTTGAGGCTTGGATGTGTGCTTGTCATTACCAGACATGGGAGATCTCTAGGATTGGATCGCATGCAAAGTCACCTCGATGCCGTCGACGACGTACTAGCACAGTTGTATCTTGCTTGCAGGCCGATCGCCCGGCACAGGTCATAGACTGTTAACGGTACGCGCCCGCGTGTAGCAGCGACACGTCTAGTCTCCATAGCCATGAATGAGCTCATGAGAAGATCTGTAGAGGCAGAGATATGGCTTGTCCGTGCATGCAGACAGGAAATCCTGTCCTGCATTCAAGAAGGCGATGCGAAATCTTGTCCTTGCCGAGGGCAGCTGCAGCCGTCGCCTCGTCCACGCTCAGCTGCAGCTGACGCACGGATGACTGGCCAGCAGTCCTCGATCTAGATTTGGTTCCTGCGAATGTTTATCTACACGACCCTGTAGCAAGGTCGATGGTTTCGTGTGGCCCGTTTGCGCCCGGCATGCATGGGATTCAGATTTTTAAACGGCGCGTCGAGGGAGGCAAACGGGCCACGCGTTGCTGCATGCCGCTACGCTGGTAGCAGTACGTACGGCCGAGTGAGTTGGACTGATGGCGCTGCGCCAGTGCTAGCACGCTGTGGAGCTCGTAGTGCCACAGGGCTGCTCCTGCCCAAGTTGTATCATCTGTCGGGCATTCAATGGACACCGTCACACGTTCTTGTTGGATCGGCTTGGCCCGATCTCTCGCAGCACGATGAACTCAACTGAATTCGATCCATGAACTCCGCAAGAACTCGTAAAGCAAGAGGCACCGTATCTCTCCGTTAGGGTAACTAGAGTAGTATATAGTGATATCAAGTGTTGGATCCCAGGCAGTCGCATTCGGCAATGATCTGGCGACGTTCACCGAGCACGGCCGATCGATCGCCTCACGATCATTGTGCTTCCACTCGAAGAAACCAGCAGCGCACGGGCATGTGATATGCATGCATGCACGCGTGCGCGCTCGCGCGTGTACGGAAAAAGGGCGGGCGCGACGCGACGCGACGTCGCACGCCGCGAAAAGAAGCCACCGTGGAATGGATCGGGACCGGAAGGGGCGGCGCACCACCGGAGCCCCGCCGCCGCTGGGCGACGCCCGGACGTGGCCGTGCGTGCGTGCGTGCGTCGCCACGACCACCGCACGTCCAGCACGGTCCACATCACGTCGCGTCACCGGCACAAAGCTACACCGGAGACACGCACCGAGATATCGATCGGAAAAAAAGGCGACGTCTGCGGTGGTTAACCAACGAATCGCGCTCGATCAACATCGACGTTACCTACTCCTAAACACAGCACGTATACTCTCCTACGTGTCATCATTCAGCTTTTGATTTATTTTACAGGCCGAGACTGACTTCAGAATGAGCGGCCGAATTTTGCTTTCCAGGGTTTTGAGTTTGGGCTTGATTGGGACTGGGCTAGGGCTATAGCCCATCATAGGGTAATTGACCTGCCGAAAATATGAACGGCCTGGCAGAAACTTGGTTCTTATCTTCATATCCTTCTCCTTGGTGCACCTAGAAAGTTGGTGCTTTTCTTGTGCCGGAATGGGAGCTTCCCTGTGCACCTGGACGGTCTCTGCCTCTGCAGATGAGATTGGTTATCCTTTTCAAAAAGAATTCTTTCTCTCCCGCAGAGGCTCTCTCGAAGAAGACCGATGATTGATCTCAAAGACACAGTGAGGAAAACGACCCGTGCTTACTTCGAGACTACGTTTGGCACCACGAACGGAGCAATCACTCAAGAAACAGTTAAGAGAAATCGCCAAATTCACGCAACGTTTTCTTGGCCACTGACGACCCTACTTCTGAAGTACGTACGTGCGATCCAAGCCTCTGAATCTCCCAACTTCTGATCAAAGACTGTACAGTTGAAAAACCACCGGTGTTTACTTCTGGACTACGCTTTGCACCATGGACGAGCAATTACTCAAGAAACAGTTAAGAAAAATCGCCAATCTACGCAACGCTTTTGGTCACTTCACTCGACCCTACTTCACAAGTAGGCTACCTGTGAGGTGCGTGCGATTCAAGTCTCTGAACTTCAATTGACAGGTGAACGAACAGCACGGGGAAAGCGAAGTGCTCCGGCATCTGCTGAAGCTGAGCGACAACTGATTGGGACGCATTTCGCACGGTGTATCCACGTTAAACAAACGAATCCTCCCAACCAGCGCGACCGATCACTGATAGTGAGACGGCTGTTCCCGTATCACCAGCCCCCGTGCTATTTTCTCCCCGGCCCAACCGCCTGAAAGCAATGTGCGGTGAGGTCAGTGTCAGGTGCGGTGCGGTTGGTGCGACCTAACAGCCTAACACTGGCGAACGTAGCAACGACCGCTCAGCCAACGCGAGTCCAAATCACACTGCGTGTGTCGCTTCAAGCGTACTGCAGTCGACGGCGACGCCGTTGCCGGCGGCCGGCATTGCAGTCCATATACTGCAAAATACTAGTACTGTAGTAGTCAGTACAGTACCAAACATCAATTTACAGGTCGCCTGCTTGTGCTCGGCCGGTTGCAACTTCTAACAGACAAGAATGAGATGGCGGTTCAGGTGCCACAAAGGATTCGAATGTGATACCAATACATGGCACAACGAGGCCACCATTTTATTCGGGAATATATATATCTGTACATATGCTACTGTACATCTCTGCCCGGCCAAGATGGCCAAGATGGTAAGGAACCTGTGCTCGAGGTCGAAGCGGAGGGGGCGGCGGCAGTTCCTGTTTACAGAAGCAGTTCATGCCGAGCAGCGTTGCTGCTGCCGCCGCGCCGGTTGCACAAGCTCCAGTGGGGCGAGACCTGAGCCCGTAAACCTTACTGGGTTCCTCTATCTTCACTAGACACTGTTTCTATCAGCTGTAAGAATGTTCCCCAACTACATACCGGACTCGACAAGTGGTAAGCATAACTAGAGGGGCATGTACAGAGTATACACAAGGAGAGACCGGAGGGTGGTGAGCAGTCTATGGAGAGCCGACCGGGAGTTTATGCGACAACTTCGTCCCGTTTTTTCCAGTCAAGGACACCTGCAATGCATCACTGACAATCAGTGCTAAAATTTACGACTGCCTTCGAAAACCATGTCCTTGAATGCACAAACATACAGTAGGCCCAAAGAAACAGACTGAGAAGTATCATATTTTTCAGTTGTTTAAGGGGGGCTGTCATATTTTTCGAGTTCTCCTAGTAGACATATGCAACAGGTTGAAGCTGGTAAGACCCAAAGCATGAGAGCATAACAAAAACAACTAAATCTTCTGTTAGAAAATAGCCCTACCAAAAGAATGTCCTCATCGGTTCCAAAGGATTTGCGGGCCTCATCTAAACTTTTCATGGGCACCATTTCACGCTTTCTGGAAGAATAAAAAAAGTGAGTGATATTCTGTCATGGACATAAAGTTCAAGCAGAGAACAGTTAAGATATAAGTTTGATATTGATTTTTGGCTCATAGTATTATTTGCCAATCAGGCTCAGGCCGCCATGAAGCACAAAATTAGCTCAAAGCAGGTCATTATCCTTAGTTTACACAACCTTTATGTTGCTGCGACACAACTAAGTATCCTCTCTTGTAAGTTTTTATCCCAGCTCAAACAACAGGCTACTTCTGCAGGGTTAGTTACCTACTAACATACTTTGCATAAATTACATTTATGGAGAAGATAACAAGCGATATCCATAGTTAAGTGGCATACAGAGTATTCATCAACCATATTTATGTGTAAGATGAAAAAAAAGGAAACCGTTTAAGAACCAAGAGTACAAGGTACCTAGAACTGGCTGGATCCCTTATCTCAAACTCGCAAGCATCGGCATCATAGCCACATATTACAACATAATGCCCTGCAAAGGGGAACAATATTCACCAGGTTATTACATGGACAAAAACTACAACTTAGATAGTAGAGGTATCCCTTAATTAACCTTAAGCTCTTAAAAAATAGGGTCAAAAGTAATAACAGGCAAGATCAGTTGTGTAGCCAGCATTTCTTTGTTATAATAAGTAACGAATTTGGTAATCCCACGAATTTCTGTGAGTATAACTGCCTTTGGCCCTGGCTTCTACCAATATAGGCACTCTCATTGATGTTTATAGTAGTGCAGTGAACATAGGAATGGCAAACACACCCTCAACAAGAAGTTTGGATTTCATGTTTCTAACAGACAAGAAAACAAAAAGATATTTAGGTCGCCAATTGGCATGGATAGTATGCAAATTCACATCATGGCATCAGGCATTTAGTTTCTACAGATTCAGCGATATTTTATTCAGAATAAATGTAGCTCCATAAATACATGTTATCAGTAATTCAACTATTAAAGTTAAAGGCTGATTGGTAGAAGTTTCGGGCCACTACCAGCCTTACGAGAGTATGAGATTAATAAATTAGATAAGCACAAAATGAAGACTATGGAAACTAAAGTAGAAGACACTGGTCTTGGTTCATGTACTGGAAAATACTCCTTACAGAAACAAAAGGTAATGTCTCAAAGAAAAGGAAATAGTGACAAACCCATGTAATCTGAATCCTCGTCAAACTGTTGCATATCATGCACATCATTCATCCAAGAGGAACTGCATCCAAAAGTATCGCACTGTCAATGTATGTTTCAGATAATGTTCGATTGATTACTCTCAATTGGACACCCTAATTTTTCTCTTCAAATTTTAGGATGAAGCAATTTGCAGAGAGATACATGGGTACAGCTATAAAACATATCACCAGTGATCATTTGTAGTGTTTAACTGCTTAATGACCTATTGCCACATAAAGTGACACCACTGCAGAAGATATTAAACTGACAGTCGTCTGACGGTGGTTCATAAAAAAGGTGGAATATTCAAGTGATATCAGAGTTGGATTTGAATCCACAAGTCATACTGAATCGGGCAGGTCATCACAACAAGTATATCCACCAAAACTACTTATTAGTTTAACTGCTTAAGGAACATCCTATGCCATGGATGATTCCAAATGACAGAGCAAAATATAAAATGTTTATATTATTAGTAAGAAGAAGTGAAACTACAAGGATAAATATTCCACAGCAGACAGAAAAAAAAATCTTACTTTAACTTTGATTTATCCACTAGAGCAATTGCAATGCAGTGCCCAGATAAGATTAGAAAAGCAATATCATACGCACTGATGGATCTGCGCTGAGAAAAACCATAAATTGCAAAAACTTAAAACCAGTACGAGAAGTAGATGGAATAAATAATTTTATGATGTCTGTTTTGTGAGCGTACTTGAATACTGATTCCAGCATCAAGTGCTTTGCCAAACAGCTCATCAACTCTGTCAATGTCTTCTTGCAATTGCTCCTATCATATTGATAATTTTGAAAACATTATTAAAGCAAATATCAGAAGAATCACTACAGCAGCAAGTTGCAATACCTACCCTATAAAAGGTTTCTGCAGAATACTGCGGATTTGCTCCAATAGTCACAGTAAAGAACGAAAAATTAACTGAAAACTTGTGTAACAGATATGCTAAGTCGACTGTCCAGACGCTGCAAAAATAACCCAAAATGTTAGTATACCAGGATATGAACTTTGAGAATTCAAATAATCAATTCAGCTAACCCGTAACACGGATGTGCGTTAACATTTTGTTTTGAGTGTACTTGCCATAAACAAATTCTATTTGCATGTGCACAATATACCTGCTACTGATCTCTGTATTATTTAAACATCTGTATGCTTAAAATGTTTTATTAGCTTACGCTGAAGATGGTGGTTACTATATCCGTGCAGCAACAAAACCTATCACAGCTCCGCTCCAGATAACATCCGACAAACAAATAATATAGCTCATGCAATCATGTTGAACAGTTTCTATTTAAAAAACCATGTTGTACATTAGTGGGAGATAAACCTATAAAACTGGGACAAATAGTTCAGTGCTACATGACAGCAGGACACTGAATCTGGTTCCCTCCTTTCATAATGTAAGGTCAGATTCTCAGTATAGTTCTTTAGGTATTACTTCGATTTCAAAGAACAGATACATCACCAATTCATGTTTAGCTGTTCAAAACTCCATCTATAGTAATGTTTGTAGCTTGATGGATGGCTTGGTGACCAACCGTTTACTAGTTCAGACTTCAATAGGGATTCCCTGGCCCTTCTAGATAAACCTTCATGGTGTGACAGTACCTTTTTTCCTCTGCAAAGCAACTCATGTGTTTTGTCTGTTTATAACAGTTAGCTGCCGGAAGCACCCCACTATTTAGACAAATATATTCCACAACAACCCAACAATTATTGTTAGCTACTCCCTCTGTAAATTAATATAAGAGCGTTTAGATCACTAAAGTAGTGATCTAAACGCTCTTATATTAGTTTACGGAGGGAGTATTAGCTTTGTGTTTGGCCTTTAAACACACTACTACTTCATAAAACAACTCAAAGTACTACGGCACGGCTAAATTAATATTCCTCCAGGTTACCAGGTATCACCGCCACTGGCTCAAACAAGAATTCAAGCGGTACGGCGCAGCTAGTTTCTTAATGAACCCAAATTTTCAAGTGCTAAATGGGATACCTTGTGGTGCGGCAGAGCTTCTCGAGTTCGGCAATGCCGTGGCAGCAATCAAGGCCCAGGGTCCTGAGCACCATGAGCACGCAAGCGAGGCCGCAGTCCCAGGTGAAGGCCTGCTGCACGTGAGGGACCTGGATGGAACCACCAGCAAAGCAACCGTAATGTCAATCGAGAGGACTGAATGCCGCGCGGCGATTCAAGAATCGCTACACGTACTACACGAGAGTCGCGAGACAGTGATGATATGATAAGACAATAAAGAGAGAGGCGGGAGGGGGGAACTGACATCGATGAAGTAGGATCGGCGTGCTAGCGGGATTCGGCCGTCGGGGGGCGGCGGCGCGCCCGGGCCGTCGCCGTCGCCGGCGTCGTCTCCCGGCACCCTGAACAGCCTGTCGGAGATGAAGCAGAGGGGCCACATGACATCATCAACCGCCGGAGGGGCCAGCAGGCCGTCACCCGGACCGGGCAAGAATCGTGCCAGGTTCAGGCCAGGGCACGGTAAGGCAGAGAATTCTTGGCCTCGCCGGCCGTTGGGACCCCGACGAGGAGGAGGAAGAGCGGCTCGGGTAAAGCCGCGAAGAGAA